AACGGTGCAAGTCTCATGGCTGGCCCTCATTCAGCGCGGCGGGGGATGCACCTTCGCAGACAAAATCCATCTGGCTTACGAGAGAGGGGCATCTGGAGCCGTCATCTTTAACTTCCCGGGGACCCGCAATGAGGTCATCCCCATGTCTCACCCGGGTGAGTGCAGCTACTAAATTGCACCCCTCCAAGCCTCCGCCATGGCCGATTTCTCTTATTTTCCACAGTGCCACCCTCCCCCCTGTCCCCTAGCTCCAAAGAAAAAGCAGATGCCCTTTCTGCCCCCACCGAGTAGGGCAGGGACCTCCCTGAGACTCACTAGGCGTGGGGGTTGGGCGGAAAAAATCCTTCAGAATCTGCCTTCTTGGTAGAATAGAGTAAGACAAACGGGGGAAGGGAGGCTGGCAAATCCAGGACTGTTTGGACTCTGTGTCCCTTTTTCCTGGTGTTTCACAGAGGTGCTTCATCTTGAACTAAGTAGGGGTGGGCACTGGCTTTTAAATGACCGGAGAAGGTTGCCTGGAAATCCCTTCCTTACTCTTGGGTGTTTAACAACCTCGGGCCAGCAGCACCTTTTCCCTTCCTTTCTCCCTGTATTTCTCTCCATGTTTTCTAGATATCAAGTACAAGATTGTGTTACTGTGCCCTGTTAACCTCATTGCAACTTTGTTTGGCTGTTCAATTCTCTGCCCAGTGGTCTCAAGTCCTAAGTGATTATTGGTATCAGTGCTTTGTCTCTAAAAAAATCTCATTTAGGTCGAGTTGCTAAACAGGTGATTATGGTTATTGAAAAGAGGTTTATGTATGAGGATAGCAAAGGCCTAGACTTTGGTAAAAGTAGTCCAGGTAGCGCACATTTGTGGAGAGGTACAGATTACTGTTCCCATCCCCTTCAGCTATCCTTCCAGAAACCTTTTCCCTATTTGAGGTTAGGTGGCAATACCATAAGTATATAGTGGTCCTAAGCCTTGAAGGACAGAAAAATAAAACTGGAGAAAAAGGAAGTGAAACGTTTAATAGTGGTGTATTACAGTTGGGCCTCAAGTCAGACCTTGGTTCAAATTCCTACTCCATTGCTTACTAGTCCTATGACCTTGCGCAACTTACTTGAAGTGTTTGAGTCTGGATTTCCTCATCAGTCAAATGGGAATGAATAAGAAGAGAGAACTTATCTACAGGTTTGCCTCGAGGATAAAATGAAATAAAGCTTGAAAGAATTTAGCACAGTATAGCACATCATCTGTATAGCTCACTCAGCAAGGTTACCTGATAGAAATTAGCCTTCTAGGAGTCACTGGAGAGGCGAATCTGCTTATTTAACTACCAGATATTTTGTTTTGCTTAAAACAATATGACTGGCCCTGCAAGCAAGCACTTGTATGTGTGATTGGGTGGCATAATGTAAAGAGCACTGAACTGGAATTCTGGAGATCCGAACCCCTTCTTTGCCTCTATCAGTTTTGTGACCTTGTACAAGTTCCTTGCATGTCGAATGGTGGTATAGAGGTAGGCGGTGGAGGCCAAGTTGGCAGAGCATGCAGAGACAAAAGTGAACTGGATGAACTCTGAGATCCCTTCCAGCTCTAAAATGCTGTGATTCTTAGATTTTATATTGATTAAAGGAGCAACTGTATCTCTCTTGGTTGATAGTTCATTGATTAGAATGAAATTACATTTAAAGGCTAGTGAAAATGAAAAACAAGGACTTAGTAAATTTAAAAGGCTTTCTATTTTTGTTAGCTCTCTAAATGCAGGGATTCAGCGTTATCTCCTCCAAAGGAGGTTCTTTCACATGAATGGTTTGTAATGGGAGATCATTCTTTAATTAGAGAGTTCCTATTTAGACCCTTTTCCTCCCACTTCTGTTAAGGATGTTATCTGATAGTCAACTCCCACTATGTGTCAGGCACTCTGCACATATCTTATTTGCACTTTATTGAGAGGCAATGTGGTGTTCTAGGAAAAGCACAGACATTGTAGTCAAGATTGAGAATCAAATTCCATATTTGTCACACTACATAGCCTTTTGTCCTTTGGTCAGAGTATTTAACTTTACTAAATCTCAGTTTTCCTAAGACGGAGACAATATTTACATTGCTGTGATTCTTAAGGAAAATACATATGCAAACGACCTAGCAGATAGTAAACAGTCAGTGAATGTCAGCTGTTATAATATGTTAAGGTCAACAAGATACCCCCCAAAATATACAAATGTAAGGTTATGCAGCTGTGTATTTGAAGATATGAATACATTGGGAATGTAATTATGGCTGTTAGATATTCAGATATCAGATAGGAATAAAATCCTAAATATTGACCACTTAATTAAACTATATTATGAAATGTATATTGATACTTTAAAAACATTATTATCCAAGCCAATGACTACAGCAAAGTTTGCCATTAAACTAATTAGCCAAAACTCACAAATTACTTGTGATCTGGAATCACATTTCTTCCTTGAACTTCTGAAGAAGCTACTTTTCAACATAGGAGAAAATCACTTTGCATTTCATCCACATGTGTTATTGAATAGTTGTTTGCAAAGTGCTGTGCTGTTTGCTTTACTCATTCCTGAGAGTAAGCTTAGGGCTTCGTTTTAATCTCTGGTTAAAAGCGACTTATCGTGGATCATAGTAGCAGAGAGGTAGAACTGAGGTTTAGGTGTTGATTAACTCATTATATGTTGCCCCAAATTACATAGGGGTCACCAAAGGTGGAAAAGCCATTCCTGCCTCCTTTGTTTATAAAATCTCTCTTCACTCACTCTCACAGGGGCCTGCTTGTGAATTGTTTGTCCTTTGTATGAGTTTGTGCTGAACACAAACCTACCTATCACAGTCACATGATCGCGAAGACACATTTGTTATAAGTAATGGAACTTCTCTGAGATTCTAATCCAGACTTGCTGCCTTGGAAAATACACCAGGAGTATATGCAATGCAAGCATGCCCCAAATCCTGACAGATGGAGAAATGAAGGAAAAAGGATTGTGGTGTGACAGTTACCCCACTGGAGGATGATAGCCACTGCTCACCCTCCCCTCTCCAAATATACATACCCACTGACACTATTTTTGTGCTAGAGGGCATGTGTGTTGTTCAGAGAGAGACAAAAAGACAGAGAAGTAGAAGAGAAAGCACCTCCCCTATCCCATGGGTAATGATCACATCATAATCCCTTGTCCTCAGTCACTCCTATTTTATTTTATTTTATTTTATTTTATTTTATCTTACTTAGTTTTTGCTGTAGAGCATGTGTGCTCGCCAAAGAGAGACAGAGAAAGTGAGAAATCATCCCCCAAGGGGGATGTCCATGTTGCAATCCGTTATCCTTCTCTCTCCTCTAGGGATTTGGGGCATGCATGCAGGTGTGCCTGGCATTTTTCTCAAGCTTCCCAGACCAGGACTCAAACCATGAGGTTGGCCATGTGGGATCCAGCTGCCTTAACCACCAGGCCACAGAGCCAGCCCACCCACTGGCATTTTTAATATATTTTTTTAATTTAAGGTTTCTGCCATAGGGCACATGTACTAAGCTGAGACAGTGAGAGAGAGAAAGTGAGAACTCACCTCTCAGAGGGGATAGCCACACTGCAGTCCTTTCTCCTCCATTCTCCTCCTGAGATTTTCAGCAAGCATGCACACAAGCCTGACAGGATTTTCAAGCTACCAAGTCTGGGACTCAAACCATGGTTGGCCATGTGGGAGTCCAGCACCATAACCACCATTCCACCTGCTGCCCACCCTCTCCCCCCGCCCCACGCACACACTGGCAATTTTTTTAAAAAGAAATCCAGAAATGTATGTTTTCTGGACAGAATAATTTTTATATGTAAATATTATTGAAAGATTCATTCCATAAAGAGGCAGAACTCATTAGTTTAAAGCTCAGTGAATTTTCACAAAGTGAATGCATGTGTGTAACCAGCACCTAGATCAAGAAATAGAATAGTACTGAACTTCAGTAGGCCACCTCACAACCCAATATGAAGATTTTTTGATATAGCACAATTGTCAATTTTGACTCCTGAGGAAATGACCTCATGAAGCATAGTAGGAGCCCAGTCACCCACAGAAACAGTCTCCACTGCACTGGAACTATGGTATAGTAGTTATGCTTAGTTACGTACTGTAAGGGGTTATTACCAGCACAGAGTGCATGTACTTTCTAAGCAGTTACTAAGCCTGTTCAGAGTTGCTAGTTTCCTGTATGACATCCACCTTGGCTCTCTACTGGTAAAGCAAAACACAAGGGCTCTTTGTTATTATTCCATTTCCTGTTCTGGCTTTTTCTTTTTCAGCTGTTTGTATGACATTCTATATATCATGAATGGTATGTCATTACTGCTTGAATTTACTCATATGCTGAGCACTGCATTTATTTCTTTTGAAAAGAAAGTTTTGTGATTCATGCTGAGCTGTGGGAAACCAGACTTGATGGAGGTCATTAGGTTCAGGGTACAATTGTAAATTACTTGGTTTTAATACTTGGATGGTCAGGTTAGGTATACATCAGTGAATTTGTGTTAGCCCTATTCATTTTAAACTTTTTTGAAAGGAGATGGTACCAGGACTCACTTGTTGATGTGTGTGTAACTTTCTCTCTAAATATTAACTTGCCATTTCAGACAAAAACAGCTAGTTAAATGCTACCTGCAACTAAAAACATTTTTGAATTTAAAAAGAAAACATACCATATTATCATCATTGTTGAAACTATGGGTGATTATTCTTGTCTTTGTTATTATTTTTCTGTATTTACTATAATATGTTTTACTTCTACAATCAGAAAAATTATTTTTTAAAAAAATACTCCATTAAGTATTGGTATATCCTAAGGAAAACATTAATAATGTTGCAACTGTAGCAACAAAAGGGCGAAGTATATCTGATCATTGAAATGATGTACAGACTGTTAGGAGAGTTTAACGACTGCTTTGGCCTTTTGAATATATCCAACCCATATGATCATTAGTGAAATCCTTTCTTGTCAATGCTAATGGGCTTCTTCAGGGATAAAGTGAGCCTTGAATACTGAAAGAACTTTAAAGATTGACTTTTTGCCTTTTAATATGGAATGCTCCTCTTCTCTTTACCCCACTGCATCATAACTTTTAATTTCCTCCTCCCCACACACACTTAGAAATGCATGTACCTCGGGAACCAGCAGTTAGTGTAATGGCTATGTTGCTGGACTCCCACGTAGTCGACTGCGGTTCGCATCCTGGACCCGGTGGCTTAAAACCCATGCCGGGCATGTGTGCATGCGTGCCCAAGATCCTGAGAAGAGAATGGAGGAGAAGGGATTGCGGCGTGGCCATCCCCCCTAGGGGGTGATTTCTCGCTTTCTGTCTCTCTGTCTCTCTCTGTCTGTCTGGCGAGCGCGCGCGCCCTATAGTGAAAAACCTCTCAAAAAAAAAAATGCATGTACCTCACCTTTCTTTATACAGATATTCCAGTCCCTGATTTATGATGGTTTGCCTTATGTTTTTTTTTGTTTGTTTGTCTGTTTGTTTTTTACTTTACCATGATGTGAAAACAATATGCATTCAGTAAAAAAACATACTTTGAATTTTGAATTTTGGTCTTTTCCCAGATGCAATACAGCACTCTCAGATGCTGGGCAGCAGTAGTGAGCCCTAACTGCCAGTCAGCCATGCAGTCATGAGGGTAACAATCAATACACTGTGCTTTGTCGTCAGATGGTTTTGTCCAACTGTAGGCTAATAAACGTGTTCTGAGCACATTTAAGGTAGGTTAGGCAAAGCTATGATGTTCAGTAGATTAGTTGTATTAAGTACATTTTTGACTTAGGATATTTTCAACTTAACAATGGATTTATCGAGAAACATAGAGAGATAGGACAGAAATGGATTGTTGTCTGTTGATGATAACATGTATAGTATTCTCAACTAGACTGGTGTGAGGTGTATGCATGTTGGGCAAAGTTAGTTTATAAGCTGTGATGTAGTATAATTGAATGTATAAAATAAACTTAAAAAAACTTTAAAAAATATATAAAAATAAAAGCCTCCTTAAAAAAAATGGGTTTATAGGGAGGTAACTCCATTAATTTCTTTCTTTTTTAAAAAAAATTTTAAAATAATGTCATAGGGCACATGCAATCACCAGAGAGAGACAGAGAGAGGAAAAGTGAGAAATCACCTCCGAAGGGTGATGGCTATGCCACAATCCATTCTCCTCTAGTGTCCTCTCAGGACTTTGGACACACATGTGCATCTGTCCAGTGTGATATTCAAGCCATTGGGTCTGGGACTCAAACTGCACAGTCAGCTATGTGAGATCTAGTGCCTTAACCTCCATGCCACCTGCTAGCCCAAGTAACCCCATCCTTAAACTGAGTAGCATCTGTATTTTGGTTTTATTTCCATAAGAGGCCTAACTACCCCCGTTAGCCCTTAGTATTCATTATATTCAATACTTTAAGATGGGTACTATGTTTAGCATCTTAATTTGAAGAATTCAAAATTTTCGTAATTTTCACACATGAGAAACTGGGTTCATCTCATGATGATAGATTTTGTCATTCTAAAAAAAGAGGAAGTAATTTTGTTAGAATAAGCAGAAGGAAATCATGGTGTTTTTATTTTATACTTTATTAGTGATATGTAGAACATATGAGTTTATGAAAATTAAGTTACTTGTTTTAAAATGAATATTTCCCTTGAAAATTTGTTTGGCTATACAAAATTCCACCAGTTGGTAGTTCAAACAAGAACTGTCAAATTTAAGGGTTGCTTTAATACAACTACTTTTCTTCTGAAGATGCATTTTGTGTCCTATTTTTCTACTGTCTTCCTCCGTCTTTCATAACTTGATTAATTCTATCTTAGGTAGTCTTGCACACACACACACACACACACACACACACACTCCTTTAAACACCTTCTTCCTTCTCAAAACTTTTGTAAATGTTATTAAATCCATATTTAGTCATGGTTGAATCCTCCTGATTAAATATTCATTTTAATCATGTACCAATAGTCAAGATAAATTTTATTCTATTTTTAAATTTCTGCTTCCTGGTCAGAGCCATGGCAGTGACAAACTCAGCCCTGTCAACCCTGTAGTGTTTTTTGAGGTCAGCACTGGTGGCCAGTTGCACTGCATGAAGATTGAGCTTTCTGCAGACATTGTGTCTAAGATGGCTGAGAACTTTAGGCAGTTCTGCACTGGAGAATTCAGAAAAGATGGGGTTCCAATACGCTACAAAGGGAGCACCTTCCACAGAGTCATAAAGGATTTCATGATTCAGGGTGGAGATTTTGTTAATGGAGATGGTACTGGAGCCATCAGTATTTACCAGAGGCCATTTGCAGGTGAAAACTTTAAATTCAAACACTCAGCTCCAGGACTGCTTTCCATGGCCAACAGTGGTCCCAGTACAAATGGCTGTCAGTACTTTATCACCTGCTCTAAGTGCAACCGGCTAGATGGGAAGTGTGTTGTGTTTGGTAAAATCATTGACAGACTTCTGGTGATGAGAAGGATTGAAAATGTTCCTACAGGACCCAACAATAATCCCAAGCTACCTGTGGTGATCTCACAGTGTGGGGAGATATAGCCCAGACCAATTCTGGGCCAGGCCAGACCATCTGAGTGATATTCTTGAATAAGATCATTTGGAATGGCCTCCGTGTTTGCTTCTCTGCCTGCTGCTGCCCCATTTGATCTAGAGACCCTGGAAGGTCACAGATTCAGAACCCAGACTGTCTATATTTAAGTTTTCAACTGTTAATAAAGTTTTTTCTGTAAATTTTATCTATCTATCTATCTATCTATCTATCTATCTATCTATCTATCTATCTGTTTTGCTATAGGGCAAATATACTCTCCAGAGAGAGACAAAGAAAAGGAAAATTAGAGGAAAAGTGAGAAATCACACTTCCCCCCTAAAAGGGATGGCCATGCCACAATGCCTTTTTCTCCATTCTCCTCTCAGGATGTTGAGCACTCATGCACACAACCCAGGGTATTTCTTAAGTTGCCAGGTCCAGGATTTGAACTGTGCAGTTTGCCATGTGGGTTCCAGCTGTCTTATTATTATTATTATTATTTTTTGGAGAGGTTTTCGCTATAGGGCACGTGCGCTCACCAGAAAGAGACAGAGAGATAGAAAGCGAGAAATCACCCACCCCCGGCCCGGGGAGATGGCCATGCTGCAATCCCTTCTCCTCCATTCTCCTCTTGGGATCTTGGGCACGCACGCACACATGCCTGGCATGAGTTTAAGCCACCGGGTCTGGGACATGAACCGCAGTCGACTACATGGGAGTCCAGCGACATAGCCATTACACTAACTGCTGGTCCCAGATCCAGCTGTCTTAACCACCATACCACTGGCTTGCGCCAAGATAAATTTTAAATGCATGTGTTTGTTTAGTGCAAAGCATTTTCACATGAAATAATCTCTGGCTCATTTCGGAACCTAAATACTATTTAGCAGCATTACATTTCCCACAGTGTTTATGTTCCAAAATGTGTTTTCTCTCATTTTGAACAACTGGTTTACCAACGAACTTTTGAAACCTGATTAGTGTTTCTATCGTGATTATTATTCATAATGAAAATGTCATAAAGTATAGTTTATTATATTCTTCCCAACCATGCTGGTTTGGAAAGTTCTCTGTACTTACTCAGTTTCTCTGTCATGTTGAAAAGGTTCTACATCATCTTTTCCATGTGTTCCATGTGCTACTTGGCATTATTGCTTTCCTAATGTGTCATGATCTCAGAAGATGCTTGCTTATTTTAGTAGCATTTGTAATGTTTCTAAAATTTTTAAGAATACAATATATATTTTTTATTGATTCAATCATTTATTTTGATTTAACCAGAGAGAGACACACAGAGAAAAAGAAAAAGTGACAACCCAAGCCACCAGGTCCAGGACTTGAACCATGGTCAGCCATGTGGGAGTGTCCAACACCTTAACTACCATGCCACCTGCTGGCCCCAAGAATACAATATATCTTAACTTTAACCTGTAGCTCAGTTAGCCAACAATAGATTTTTAGATACATCTTTCTTATTTTAGAACACTTCCACAGTCATTTAGATAAAGGATAGAAAAGAATGATCAACCTATGTTTAGCATACTTCCAAAATACCTTTTATAGTCAAATTCTTGATTTTCACCACCACCATTTCATTTTGGCAAGATAGCAGGATGTATAAGAGAGATGGAAGATGGCCTAGATAAAATCACTAGTCACCTCCCTTGCCTCAACCCCTAACCTCCACCATTTATAGTGGCTCTTATGTTTGGTGCCTTTTAGTTGAACTGGCTAAAACAAGAGAATTAACTTAACCTTGAGTAATATAATCAAAAGCCAGCAGATTATCCTTTGATGGTTAGGAAAGCTATATGATTGCTCTATTTTTATTTCAGTCTATTGTACCAAAGGTGAATGTGTTTCATTTGAATTTGAAGGAGAGCATATTACAAGGGAAGAACAGGTGTCCTTGAATCAGACTGCTTGGTTGGAATTCCAGCTCTACCAATTAATAAGCATGTGGTCTTCAGCAAGTTGTTAACCTGGACCTCATTTATCTTGTTCAAAAAAAGCTTTACAACAATGCCTGCTTTCTACGATGCTGTAAATAAAGCATTTTGTATGTAGTGAGCATTTAGTAAATGTTAATTCTCTTGACCCTTTTGCTAACAATTTTATTACTGCTAACATAATACTCATTGGATTACTATAGCTATTCACATTTAGAAATATGTAATTGTTTATATGCAGAAATGGGAAAAACTGTGACATCCACATTGCTATTTTTCTGGGAAGTTCCTGAGAATGTAGGGAGAGATCATATAACCAAGAAACTGAAAGAGCTATCTTATCTTCCATCCCCCCATGTATTTCCATTTTAAACAACAGTAAAACCTTAAAATCAAAACATAAAGCCTTAACAGCAAAAATGACTCTGGCCCTTTTGCTGACATGATGTTAAAGAGAAGAGATTTAGAAATAAGATTTTAAATATGAATTCCAGATGTATTGTGTAATATCTTTATTACTTTAGTGAAGTTAATCTCTTTGAGACTCAATTTCTTCCGCTATAGAATGGGGAATGATAAATATATATACCTCATAGGGTTATTATGAGGGACAAATTAGATAATGTATTTGCCCCTTGGTATCGATGGGGGATTTGTTCCTGGATCCTTGGGGATACAAAATTTACAGATGCCCAAGTTCCTTATATAAAATGGTGTCGTATATGCATATAAGCTGTGTACATCCTCACATATACTTTATTTATTTTTAGAGAGATATTTGCTATAGGGTACATGCACTCGCCAAAGAAACACAGACAAAGTGAGAAATCACCCTCTGGGGAGATGGTCATGCTACAGTCCCTTCTCCATTCTCCTCTTGGGATCTTGGGCACACATGCACACATGCCTGGCATGAGTTTCAAGCCACCAGGTCCAGAATTCAAACCACAGCTGACTATGTGGGAGTCCAGCAACATAACCATTATGCCATCTGCTGGTCCCTTGCCATATACTTTAAATCATCTCTAAATTACTTAAAATGCCTAATACAAACAGATGTATATAAATGTATATAAAGAGTTGCCATATTGTATTTTAAAACATGTATTATTTGTTATCATTGAATTATTTTTATTTTTAAAGAATTATCCCATTTAACTTTATTTATTATTATTATGTTTTAATTTGACCAGAGAAAGAGAGAGAAAGTGAGAAAGTAAGCTGCCAGGTCCAGTACTTGAACTGCGGTCAGCCATATGGGAGTGCAGTGTCTTTAACCACCACGCTACCTGCTGGCCCCTGAATTATTATTTTTTATTGCTTTTTTTTCTGAATATTTTCAATCCAAATTTGGTTGAATCCATGGAGGTGGAACCTGCAGATATGAAGGGTCAACTGTGTATATAAAGCAGTTAATGTACATCAGAGTTTGTTAAAAGTTAACCACCTCCTCACCTTTGTCTATAGCCTGGTCTTGGAGACTGGTAATGTATATCACTGCATGGCTTCTCAGAGTCTCTAACATGGAAAAGAAACACTGGTAACTTTGTTCTATGCATTATTCTCTTAAATTATTTATATATAAAACCCCTTTTCTCTCCACATACTTAACTTTTTTTTTTTTTTTTGGAGAGGTTTTTGCTATAGGGTGCGTGCGCTCGCCAGACAGACAGAGACAGACAGAGAGACAGAAAATGAGAAATCACCCCCCAGGGGGGATGGCCACGCCGCAATCCCTTCTCCTCCGTCCTCCTCTCGGGATCTTGGGAACGCACGCACACACACCCGGCATGAGTTTTAAGCCACCAGGTCCAGGACGTGAACCGCGGTCGACTACATGGGAGTCCAGCGACACAGCCATTACGCTAACTGCTGGTCCCCCAACACATACTTAACATTTGAAACATAATTTGGGAAACACTTGATTGCCATGCACTTGACAACTTCTCCCTTCTTTCCTATTTTTGTTTGTTTGTTGTCTTTTTATACTGGTCTCATATTAAAGTTTTGTCAATGTTAGTTGACAAACCAGGAGTTACTAAACCAGGTAATAACTAAAGTTACCTCATTATGCTAATAACAGAATGTTTTCGACTGTGATGACAAGCATTGAGTTATACTTCTTTGTATTAATAGTAATATGGTACTTTTTATATCAGGTTAATGTGGCTTCAAAGTATAGTTCTGTAGGTAGGTTTATTCTCTTTATTGACTTTCAGAAGCAATTTACTGTGAAAGGATAAATGCATAAGTGAGATAGGTCTGTGTTGTTTAATAATTAGTGTGTGGACCTTAGCACAGAAGATAGCTTTTGTAGTACTTCATACATGAGGAAATTTAATTTATTCAGGTAGTAGAATGTTCTTATTTATGAATTTTTGAGACCTATATGATATAAAAGTCATGCTAAAACATACCAAATTCTCCTTTGATCTAATTTGATACCAAATGATATACTAACTAATATGGACTACTAGAACTTTGATACCCTTAGGTTCTTGCGGCTGGGTCATAATGAATATCTTAGCACTCAAATATCAGTTGAGATAGGCTTTTCAGATCTACACAAAAATGGCACTGTCTAGAGTTTGACAACATTTAAAGTACAGAGTACATGTTCCTTTCATGCATTCTTGTACTAATTCCACCTGGTCTGAAAGGTTGAGGTAAAGTGGCAAGTGGTAGAACTCATGTCCCAGTGTCATTGTAAGCCCAGGCTATGGCCATGTTTTAGATAAAACAACAATTTACTCAGTGGAATTCTCCTTCTCAAGGCCTCACATGATAGGACAACAGAACCAACACATACAAGGATAAAAACATCACCGTAATTTCCAATGTTCACTTGTGTAAGTTTTCTTTCCCTGAAACTCCTTTCTCCTATTTCCTTATGTTTTTTTCTTTTTTTTAAACAACTAACACAATATCTTTTTAATTGTTTAAGAGAAATTTTTGCTATAGTGTGCATGCGCTTACCAGAGAGACACAGAGAGACGGAGAAACAGAAAACAAGAAATCACCTCCTAGGAGGGATGGCCATGCTGCAATCCCTTCTCCAT